CCAGTTAGAGCCTGTTAGGAAGATTTTGAACCTGAATGACACAATTACTGCACTTCGAGAACCTGAATGACGATTTTCATAGTTCGAGGACCTATGTGACATCCCTGAAATAGTTCAAGGACCTACAGTGCACTTCACTCGGTGTCGCGGATGGTGAGGCCGTGCCACCGCCACCGCCACCGCCCGGGTTCATGTGTTTCGAAAATGGTTTTCCCGGGACCGGTCAGGCTGGGCGAACCTATCCGGCCGGTACTCTTCGGTTTCAAGAAGAAGAAAATGGAGACCGATGGGTCAATAGAAAATCTGGGTTCAGCTAGAATGCCACTACCCTAGATATTGATTGGCCGACATGAGTGGCTGGTCGATCCTCCGGATCATCTTTGTATCCCCTAAACTTGAGCACATAAAATAAGGCGTGCTCTTCTTCTAAAAAGAAGCTAATCACATGTTCAGGCTCCTCTAGTCTAGCATCTAAACGAAACGAGTACACGTACTGCCATTCATATGTTCTCTAGTTTAACACCGAAGTGAATTTTCTTTTCTTTTATCCTCTATTTCATGTTCGTGACAATTTTGCCCATTCATCAAAAATTCTTTTTGCTCCCTCCGTCCCGTAATGTGTGTCAAAAAATACCTTACATTATGGGACGGAGGGAGTACTTAACTTAGGGAAACTCATGTCAGAACTTGCTAATTCAATTTAATTTTCATTTTTGCATTGGTTGTGCTTGCCACGTAAGCGGTTTAATTTTCTTTATTGTTTTTATTTGGTTTTCTCCCGGTTCAGACACATAGTTTGATTATATTTGGATTTTCCCCCTTCTTCCCTAATCTATCTATTAAAGCTACTAAGCTTCATAGATTTGGATCCTCCTGGTGCATCAGGCGTTGTGAGGATGCTATGAGCCCCGCTTGTAAGGTGCATTCTGTTGGGTCAGTTGTTTTTTTTGTTTTGGGGATGTATTACCTAGGTTATTTTTCCAACAGTTTTGATAGTTTTTCTGTTGGATTTTTCCTTCTTTTCCTCTTTCTAATTTTTTATTTTTCTAGTTTCTTTTCATTTTTTTAGTTTTTCATATGCTAATTCATGAATATTTATTAAATTTAAAAAGATTATGCGCATTGTTGAATTCATGAATATTTTTTAAAGTTAATTGAATATTTTTAAATTCAATTTTCTAAATTTCACAAACATTTTTAAAGTGTATGGAGCATTTTCAAATGCATGAAGATTGTTTTAAATCCATGAATATTTTAAAAATTCACAATTTTTTATTTGTAACATTTTTAAAATATAAGACTTTTTTAAATACCTGAACTTGATGAAATTCTTCAATAAAAATACGTGGAAGATTTTTTCTGAGCAAACAATGGAGCGAGCGAAATAAAAAAACAAAAATGATGAAGCGAAGCAAGGAGCCGTACTAAGCGAGCGACGGCTTTATACGTCAGCCCATGTAGCTAGAGAAAAAATAACCCCGCGAGTGAAGAATAGCGCAGTGAAGCGCACTTTAGCCACTGGTTCACTCTAACTCTCACCAAAAAATGAGGATAATTTGTCAAAAGCACTCCTGCCTCTAATTCCTTGCATTGTACAGCACCAGAAGCACGGTTGCCTACTCCCAAGCAGCCCCACGAGCATGTGTGTTTTAGCACAATACAATCTCAAACGCTCACAAACACAAGCAACAGAAGATCAACCATTGTATACATGCTCGGTGTCCCCGTCATATATGCGTGACAGCTATTTCTCGCGAGTACCGAGACGTTGCTTGATCTCGCCCCTAGCACTGGAGGCACACTCACCTTAGTACGTATGCCCACCTAAGCAATTTAGGGAATGTTTTATAGATCAGTCCTGTCCATTTTTAGATCCTTACACGTGGATTCTTTTTTCTGTTTTATGTGTTTCTATTTTTAGTTTTCTCCTTTTTCTGTCCTTTTTAAAAAAAATTACTTTCTTGTTTCTATGTGATTTTTCTTATTGGTTTTTACTATTTTCATCGGTTTCCTTTCCCTTCTTTTTTTTATTTTTCATTTTTTTCGTTTTATTTATTTATTTGTTTATTTTAACGATTTTTACAGGTTTTCTTCTGTTTGTTTCTTTTTTCATTATCAAATTTTCAACACAAGTCTATTTCTTAATACGCATTGTACCTATTTCTTATGCACACATAACATTTTCTTGATATATGTTGAAAAGCACTCAAATACATTATGTACATTTTCAAAATACACGTTTTTAATATATTTTAAAAACATGTTAAACATTTATCAAACACATGTTGAACATTTTCTACTGGCAAGAAGCATTTGCTTAACTAAGCAAACATTTACTTACACTTCTAATAATTTTTTGAAAATGTTACAAACATATTTTTAAAATGTGTGAGCATTTTTTTGAATGTAACTTGCATTTTTATGAATTACACAAACATTTAGTTACGAGATTTGCTTATGTTGTACAAACATTTTTTTTTCAATTTCAGTGACATTTTTATGATTTGACAAAAATATATTTTATAGTTATGCGTTTTTTAAATTGCACAAACATTTTTTGTAAAATCTGACGAATATTTTTACAAAGTACTTGATATTTCTAAAATTCAACATAGATTTTTTGAATTGCGTGAACTTTTTACACATTTTACAAACTTTTTTGAATGCATGGTGTATGTTTTTAAATTTAAAGATTTCTTTTGAATTTTAGAAATATAAGTTAATGTAGGCAAATAATAATAAAAGAAAAATGTTTTTTACACAAAAAAAAGAAGAGAAAAAGAAAAAACGGTGCGCCGGAAAGCAGCACTCCACCTGCCTATTGAGAAGGGGTTCCAAAGGCGAGAGCTCCTTTGGGGTCGCTGTAAGCAACATATAGCCGCTCCGTGTCATATGCATTATTTTCTTTAAAAAGTTTGTAATAACGTGCCAGATCAGATTCAGAAACCAAATTGTCCTTAGATCGAGAGTGTGCTATGATTTTTATCTCAATGCAGTGGCCTGCTCAACTAAGGGAAAGACTTCCTGTCCTCTGGTGCCACAAGGGGCGTGCAGCGGGACTACTGACTGACTACTGTGTTTCTCGCTGTCATGCAAAATTTTCTGGCTAACATGACAGCAGCTGAAGGCCTCTTTGGTTCATAGGACATGAATTTCATACGAATAGAAAACACATAGAAAATAAGATGATATGTATCTCAAATCCTGTATATAAGGAAGAAGATGTTATGTGGTTCATAGGATATGATTTTTTTCCCACTGAATATAGACTAATTTTCTTTTCCTCTGGAACACAAAGAATTACTTCCTATGCTATACATGAATAGGATTTTATTCGTACAAACCAAAGGGCCTCAAAGTAAATTTTTCTATAAAATTCCTACTCCCTCCGTCCCAAAATATAATAACATTTTTAACGCTAGCATAGTGTCAAAAACGTCCTTATATTCTGGGACAGAGGAAGTACCATTTAGCATTCCAACAAAATTCCTCCAAATCAGAGGAGGTCAAAGAGGATATTTTAGCACTTTAAAGCTGTGGCACGAGAAGGAAGGTGACATGCGCTTTTTTTGTCCAGCCCGACGCAAAAACAGCATTGGGATGCTATTCCCTCTAGGTAGCACTGTGAATCGAAGATTTCGCTTTTCTCTACAGAAAAACAGACCCTCTACATCAAAGCTGAACGTGTTTCCTAGTGTGTAAGCGAATTTAAGGTTGGTAAAAAGGCAGCGAAGTATTTAAACGGCCAGGCACAACGCTCGCCCCACCGTGCAAAAAGAGAAACCCCTCACTAAGCAGTGGAGCTTGCATTTCCACCACACCGACGCCTCAAGAGGTATCCCCGCGGTTCCTTTTCCCGAGAAGCAGCTGATCGTGGGTTCTGCTCCCTCCGTTTCAGTGCAGTGTCAAAAACGCTCTTATATTATGGGACGGAGGGAGTAATATTTTTCTCACACACTCTCCTCCATATAGTGTTGGAGGATCTGCTGCAATGGTTGCGCTGCCTTTTCGTACCTGCGGCTTGCAATGCTGTTGACCATTATCCATGCGTGCCATAATAAGCGTGCGTCCCCATTATTCGCGGTCTGTCGCCAAGCAAAGCTCCGGTCACGGCTTCGCCATGTCGGTTCTCTTCTCTGATGCTGGCGTCCACGAGTCCGGGTTGGTTGGTTGGCTGGCTCATGTGAGTGTGAATGTGATTCCCCCGGCCAGCCCCATGTGATGCAACATGTTGTCCCAACTGTGCCTGCGATCACCAAATGATTTAGTATCCTACTACTAGTGGGACAGCTTTACTCCTCCTCCATCATCTTCTCTCTTCTTTCCTTTTAATGATGATCGGCTCTGTTCGTTGGTTGGACCGACCTGACGATGCCCGGGACCATGAGATGCCATGCTGAAGCAGACACCCATTAGTTGGTTATATCATACTGACTCTCTGGCAGTTCATTGTCCAATGGATGCACAAGCACAGGCATCATCGTGGAGCACAAGCCTAGATTAATAGTATCTGGGTGTGAATACATTGATCCTGCTGACCTTATTCATGATCTGGAGCAATGTGGTGGGTAACAGCACAAGGCACTAGAAGCAGTTCAACATCCACAGTGAAATTCAGCAGTAAATATTGTCTCATACAGTAGCAAGCATAGCAGTCTCAGTCTCATGATAAGTTTACTCTTAACAAGTGAGCGAGCACATAGTGGAACAAGCACTAGTGATTTGGTGTGGGCAAACAACCCACGGTTACATCCTCCCTACTCTACTTTATTCCTCATCTCATCCTTTGGGTGAGAACATTACAGGCTCTCTCATAACAACTCTAGGGTAAAAAGAAAAAAGAAATAATGACCAGAACATAGGCCTTGAGGAGGGCAATTGCATTGCATGTGCCACCTCTCACCCAAGGAGCAGCAACAGGTTAAACTTACCAAGAAGTGGGAGAGGAGAAGATCTCTATACACAAAAATGAGGCACGGACTCTGCCATGGATCCGTCGGTCAGTCAAAGCTCGACGACCGGCTCCATCTTCCCTGCAGATACTCTTCCAGGGACGTGTTTGCCGTGATGAAGTCGTTGCTGCTCACCGAGGCGGAGTCGTCCTCGACGTCAAAGGCGAGATTGATGTACGACTGGATGTTGGTGTTGTTCTCCGGAGGTGCGAGCGTGACCATGTCTTCGTCGCCATCGCTCTTGTATGATAGCCCCACGTGCGATCTAGCCCATTTGAGAATGTCATTGTCACCATCAAGTAGCTTCAGAACCTGATGTTTACAGACGGATGCTGCTTGTAAGATCGAAGTACAAAGGAAATACCCAACATGATGAATGGCATCAGAAACGAAATCTCACCACTGCGATGTGAGGACGGTGTTGAGGTGTTGGTCTGATGCAGAGCGAAGCGGCAAGTGTCATCCTCTCAATTTCATCGGTATGGCCTTCGGTAGGCAAGCTAGGATCGGCCAGTTGTGTGAGCTTTCCACCTTGGATGATAGAATTCGCCTATACAACACAAACAACCAAATTTTCCATTAAAACTACAGGAAGAAACCCTTCTTTGCCAAAATCAAGCCAATTACTATTGTCAAACAAACAATCAACAGATGATGATGCATAGAGATGATGCACTTACCCACATAACTAAACTCTCCTGGCCTTTCGGACAACCAGTGCACAGCGGTTTCCTGCCTGAGACGAGTTCAAGAAGAACAACACCAAAAGCGAAAACATCGATTTTGTCGTTCACCTTGCCATGCATGAAGTACTCAGGAGCCAAGTACCTGGGGGAAGGTATGTATACATACACCAGTAAAGAAAATGTTGCAGCAGACCATGAAAATGCAAAACTAGTGTGCACATGATCAGCTAACTAACCCAAAAGTTCCTGCAACATCATTGCATGTGATCTGGGGTGTTGCATCAGCGGCCCAGAGCGCAAGGCCAAAGTCTGATAACTGCATCACACGAATGTAGATATCTTGATTCAGCTAATCTGACGTTGCACAAGAACTGAAGCATGTTGTGGAACAGGATGGTAGGTTTACCTTTGGCTCAAAATCCTCTGAGACGAGGATATTGGACGACTTGACATCCCTATGGACCACTGGGCGACTGTTGCCGTTACCATGGAGATAATCCAGTGCATGAGCAACACCTACCGCCACATTGAACCTCTCGGTCCAACCAAACATGCTCTTGCATTCTTTCTCGCCTACATCACATTAAAAATAAGATGAGTTTTTACATGGAAATAGCACGGGGAGGAAACAGGTGACGCAAACTATGGAGCATACCATGCAGTATTTCTTCTAGGCTGCCTCTTTGCAAGTATTCATATACCAATAGAAGATCATTGTTCTTGAAGGAGAAGCCAGTGATGGATATGATGTTCTTGTGAATGACGGAGCTGACAATCTCGATCTCTGATGTGAACTCCTTCAGTACCTCATCGGAATACTTCAGGATCTTCACTGCCAACTCTTTGCCATTTGTCAAACAACCTTTGTAGACTTGGCTCGTGCCACCTTGTCCAACTATACACTCTGCACAAACAAGCACCTAATGGCTAAACATGAAATGTCCAGGGAAATGGGAATGATAGAAATTAATCTGAAATACATACCAGGTGAAAAATTGGAAGTGATATCTGCAAGCTCATTGTAACTGTACGACGAATAAAGGGACAAGAATTTCTCTTTGAGTGAGATCAGCTCCTCTGGAGTTTCTGTATCCAATTCCTCAATCACAACAGAAGAGCTCCCTGAATGGCTTCTGGAGGGGATAACTACCCTATCACGCAAGATACGACTGCCACTGTTGGTTGAGTCCGGTCTCGTAGTTCTGTGTTCAAGATGGACTGGCGAAACAGCTGAATACCTGCTCGGAAGCCGCATTGCCCACTGCACCACAGACATCTTGGGCTTGTCAGACAACGCATCCTGTCGATTGGGCAATAATTTCTTCCTTAGGAATGGCCAGCCAGTTGCTACTTCTGGTGATTCACGTCGGCAAACCTTAACTGGAACCAATGCTAGTGAAACTTGCTTTGACGATGTGGAAGACCTCACTGGCATGGTGACAGCCCGAGAAATGGGCCTGTTATCCTTTATGCATTCGTCCTGCGTTTTCTCTCCCATCAGGGAAGTCAGAAGCTTGCGGTAACTCCTCCTTGGAGTCTCGGCTGCATTCCAGTTACAGAGTTAAGCATGCTCATGGCAATCACAGACCAGGAAATGAACAAATGCAAGCGATATGGTTGGTTGACTTACGTGCGCTAGTGCTATTGAATGGTTCTTCGTGTGCGGCAACTCTTTGGTAAATAATCTTGCCATTGTTCACAGCAAGAACCGAGCAACTCATGGGGACTCTCTTTGCACAGTACTTGGCAACTGAAGTGGAGGAGGATCTGGTATATATTTGAAAAGAAACAAGGGCACTAATGTGAGGAACAAACTAATTTGGACCAATTTAGTAACAAAGGAGTGGAGAATGTGCCAAATTCAGTACCCAAAAGACCGAGAATTCTTTGCGACGCCGAGTATAAGATGCCCAGCACCACAAGAAGCTGCTTCTTTAACCAGAGTTTTCCGGATAGACGATCCTCCGCAGACCTTGAGCTCCAAATTGATCTGCCGAATGTAAGTGGAACAACAAAGTGATGAGAATTTTGAGGGGAAAAAACTTTAAAAGAGAGGGTTATTTTGAGGCAAATTCCCGGTGGTAGGATCAAAGGGCTACAAAGTCCTTGCCCCTGAACCTTTTGCAGCTTGACAAAACACTAGCGGTAAAAATAAAATTTAATGGTCGGAGGTAAAAATTAAGAGCTCCCAAAATTTAAGCCGCCAAAACTGCAAAGAAAACACAAGAGTTGGACCGCCCGGTAAGCTATTGTCGCCATCAAATTGGTACGGAAGAGGTGGAAAGTTTTAAGTTTGAGCTAAACTTGGATGGACCAGCAAATTAATGGCGGGTCAAATTGGGAGCTCTCGGTGACGGAAAAGGCAAGTGCTTTGATGAACCGCAGCCATTGAATAGGATCCGGAAGTTACTCTCGCGAATAATAATAAAGTAGTGGTAAGAAAAAAATAGAGAGCGTTTTGGGAAGCAGGGAGGGACGGACCTGCTTGAGGTTGCAGAAGCCGTCGTACACGGCGAGCACCGTCGCGAGCGAATCCGCCGCCTTCCTCCTCTCCTCCAGCCCAGCCCCTCCTCCGCCTCCTGAATGAGAAGGCAGGAAAAGGAGGAGATTAATCTCATGACAAGACCGAAGGGAAAATTTCGCAACCACGGAACTCGAACTTGGTATAAACCGACGGCAAGGAAATTAGAGACACGGGTGACAGGCTGTCCCGGTGGGTGGGGGGACGCACCGGCGGCGACGTGGAGGGCGACGACGCGGTCGCCGGCATTGGCGACCTTGACGAGCGCCCACGTGAGGAGCTCGCGGCTGGCGGCGTCCCACCTGATCCCGACCGCCACCGTCCTGCCGCTAGCCTCCGGCGGCGCCTCGGGCGACGGGCGGTGCCGGCGCGGCGTGGCGGCCGCGGCCTCGGAGCGCTGGCGCGCGCCGTCGGGGACGAGGAGCCTCATGGCGGGCGGCGTCACGCTCCCTTCCGCCTCCGGCCCTCTCCCTCCGCTGCTTTTCGATTCGCGTTCCACTTGACTTGCCGCGGAGGACAGCGAGAGATGGGGGCAGGGGCGAGGAGCGGAGCGTTGTATTGTATCGGGGGGCGCGTGGGAGTGTGGGGAGGACGACGATCCCAGGGGAGGGGGCCCCTGCGTTTTATGCGGCTTTGTATTGGAGCATCTTTTTGTTTGCCGGGCCTTCGCGGTTAAGTAGAGGACAATCTTAACGGCGCTTACAGACATGCTTAATTGGTTACTATATTTCCGAACTGAGGTATTTATACCTCGAAAATATAGTGATTTACTATAACTGCTCCTTATAAATCAAAAAAATACCAGTTTATGGTGTCTACTATGAATAGATATATTTTTTCCGTCCGCGGACACGAATGTGGGAGGTGGCCATTCAGTGTTGTCTGCATACATTTGGACAACAATTCAAACTAACCAGATGAAATTCGTTCAAACACGCACGAATTTCATATAAACTAGGATAATTTTTATATCAAACCGGACGATATTTCGTCCGGTGAACTAAAAACCTTAAAACAAGAATCCTAAACTACTCTATACTTGATGTTAACCTTGTAGACCATGCCGGCGGCTCCTCCTCCACATCGCCGTCTGATCCGGCGTCAGAGTCTTCGGCGTCGGGCTTCGGGCGACGAAGGTGGCGACGTCGCGACAGGGCTTCCCAGCAGACGCGTGACGCTCGCGGATGATCCTCTCCGCTTCATCATGCGTCGTGCGCAATGCGGCCGCAGCCACCGGCGACGTGGCCGGAAGGAGAGGGCGGGGAGGGGGGCTTGGAAGAGGTGGTGTTGGCGGGCGGCGATCTCGCTGAGGGACCACTCTTCGCCGTACTTGGCCATCTCCCCCATCGAGGTGGCGGAGACGCCGCTTGCTCGTTTCCGCCGTCATCGCGGAGCGGTCCAGGGCCCAGGCGTACGCCAGCTCCGGACCTGTCGCGATGTGTGGCGGCGGGACATCGGAGTGCGCGAACTCCGACCGACGCGTCACATTGCACCTGTCAGCGTACTCTTGCATCGTTAGGGCGCCCCGGGACGACGAAGAATTGTCGTCGCTGCCGCTGTCGAGGTAGTGGCGAAGGCGACCACCCGCCTTCGTGGGCGCATTGGGCATGGGCGGCGCGCGAGCGGCACTCCTCCTTGCCGCATCGGGGCGGCGGAGAGAATCGCTCCTCCTTGATGCGTCGGGGTGGCGGTGAGAGGCACCCCTCCTTCACGCGCCGATGCAACGATGAGAGGGGCTCTTCCTTCACACGGCATCTGATTTGGACGCCGCGTTTGCGTAGTGGTGAGCGTGGAGGGGATGCCGGCTCCGGCTTCATGGGGAGGAGCGTCCCCGGTGGCGGAGCCGGGCCGTTCTGGTATAAGACAGAGCAATGGAGCATCAACTTCATCTGGTGCTCGTATCCCTCGTCTGTGGCAGCGTACACTTGGTCTGCTGCCGCTGGCATGGACTGCTGCTACTGCGGCGGCTAGTCCTCCTTGTCGTCGGAAGAGATGACGATCTCCGCCTTCATTGAGGAGGCGCCCGCCGATGAGGACGACGACCCCGGAGTTCGAGGGTGGTGTTGCCACGATCCGTCGGAGCCCGTCCCGGAACCGCCGCCTGACGGCGCCGAGACCCCGGAGTTCGAGGTATGCTTAATTTCCTGTTTTACCACGTGATTGATTGTACATGAGATATATTTCATTTTTCCTAAAAGATATGGTAAATACATAAGCCATTGTTCACATAAATTTCTTGTATGTATAACAAACGTTATAAAATAGTTTGTCACAATTGCATAAGTAATTAGTAATACACATACTCTTTTGAAACATACACATACTTGATGTACTTACATAGCACCTAAAATTGTACTCCCTCCCTTCCCTTATACAAGGCCATTATGAAAAATTGTTCCAGCTTTATATATTTATGCATGGACTTTAATGCCATAATTCACTTCCTTGTTTGAACTAGTACAAAAATACATATTAGGCCTATACTAGCACAGTACTTGTATGTTTTTAATCACAACACTTATACTAGCCACTGGATCGAAAAAATAATGAATGGTTCATAGTATTAATGTGGGAACATCATAAACCCTATATGTTCAATTAGTTTTTTCCTATTATTATTTTTTGAGGGGAAGTGTTTTCCGATTTCATGGTAGGTTTCTGGCGTCTAGCTGCTTTGGAAATTTCGGTTAGAATCGGATGAACCTCGGGGCGGGGGTGTCGCACATGACACATGGGAAGATGCCTCACCCCACCCACATGCACGATATTGCACTGTCTTGTTCTGTTGTTAATGGCTCTGCCTGTTGTGTGTGGCTTCGTACCCTGAGCGAGTGCACGCAGTATGGCGCTGACTTTGGGAACCATGTGATGTCTCCATCTTCGATGACATGAGAGTCAGGATGCCTGCATGCATGTGCGCCCGCCAAGGGTAAAAATGAAAAGAAAAAATAAACATTTACTAAAACCAAACTTACTCAGGGTTGAATCCAAATTCACTCCCCTTATTTGACCCGTACGTCCAGGTCTCTCTTGCCTGTGTCCAGTTCTAGAGTCAAAGAAGAAGAAGAAAAAGAAGAAGAAGACATTCTTGGTGAAAACCTTGGGAGTTCGTTGCGCTACTTGCTCTCTACTGCCGTCACCCCGAAGTATCAATCAAAATCTACTAGGCTGCGGGGATGTCAATGTCCACTATCTTCACAATTATACAGGAGTAGTAAACCTAGACTACTACTACTAGTATACCTACTGCTGCTCGCATTAGAACTTGTTTGAGACTGCTCTGCTCCTTAAAATTTAGCTCCGCTCTGAAAAACACAAGCCAAACGGGGTAACTCCACGATATGCGGCTCCGCAAAAAAAATAGAATCTGGGGTACAACTCCCACATTTTTATGAAGCTCTTCAGGGGGTGCTTCAAAAAACTCTAGAAGCTGAAGTTGGGGGAAAATTACCCACCAATGCCACCAGTAAGTGGATACCCCTTCGTTTCTCCACCCATCACCCAATCAAATAGATCTTTTCCACCAAATTTCTCATTCTTTTTTTTTGAAAAAGGTGTGTATTATATTAAATAATCAACATAGGTTCATTACAATCATCATCGACCAGTCGCAACACGCAGGCTGGAACTGAACCGATCAACACACCCTTACTCACACCACTCCTACCAAAACTAGCGAGAGCGTGGGCAACCCTATTGCCATTTCTAGAGATCTTAGCAATAGTAAAATCAGGGAGTTGGCCCAGCAAACTCTGAATTTCCCTACACAAGCTACCAATGGGAGATCTATTAAAGTCCTTTGAAGAAATTTGTTGGATGACATTCACACGGTCGCTCTCAATAACTACTGGCCGGTCTATGAACTGCATGGTATCTCGGATTCCTTCAAGACAGGCTTCAGTTTCGGCCGCCTCAGCATTAGCGCAGTTAGTGATTGTGTTCCAAGCAGATCCAATCACCGCCCCATTTGTATCTCGTAGAACAGCCCCCCAAGCTCCATGGTTTGTCTCCTAAATAAAGCTTGCATCAACATTTAGTTTGAGCCAACCTGAGTTAGGTCTGGCCCATTGATAATCTGCAACTCTCTGTTTAGTCTCACGGAATGAAATGTCTGGCATCACTTTTTCTTTTCCTTTAAAGTCAGGTAGCGACTGTCCCGCTCTGATCGCCGCATAGGAGCTAGCATAACTTTCTAGGAATTCTGCTGATGCCTTTATTGTATCTTTCCCGTCACCAAATATAATGTTATTTCTAAGGTGCCATGCTCGCCACCAGATGAAAAGGAGGTGTGTACGCTCCTCCTCATTCGCCTTATCAAGAGTTAGAAGGACCCACTCATGCCCCGTACATGTGAGATCAGTGTCCCGGGGAAGGTTCCAGACCTCACGCATGGTGTCACGCAGGGCTTTAGCTTTTGTGCATCTCATGACTGCGTGATATCTATCTTCTGGTTCCATCCCACAGATAGAGCATGTAGGGAATAGCTCCAACCCTCTCTAATGTCTACTTGTCTGGACTCCGAGTGATTCCGTCGCCAGTCGCCACCCAAAATTTCTAATCTTGGGAGGAACATTTGCTTTCCAAAGCACGCTCCAAATCTTTCTTTCTCCCGTTGGCGCCGTACTGCTTTGTCCCAAATCTCGATTCGCCTCCTCGTCATTAACGGCTAGCCTGTACGCACTGCGAACCGAAAAGACACCTGAGCGTTCAAAGTGCCATGCTATAAAATCCTCAGAGGTAGACTGTGGGAGGCGAATTTTTAGCACTTCGTCAACATCATGAGGTAGTAATATTTTCCTAATCAGTTCCTCATTCCATGTCCTTGTCACTGGATCGATCAGCTCGAAGACCCACTTTATCCTAGTATGAGATTGTTTCCCAGTGATTTTTAAATTTCCCCTTGGGATCCAATTATCTCTTCACACTCTGACTTTATCACTTACACCAATCCTCCAAACGATGCCTTTCTTAAGGAGATCCAAACCATGACAGATTCCTTGCCAGCACGGTGACGCGTTCTGGATAAAAGCAGTATCAGCAAGATTGCCATGTGGGTAATATTTTGCCTTTAGCAGTCTCGCACATAAGCTGTCCGAAAACTGGAGCTACATGGAAGCCAAACATTCTCTTCGGTAGTGCTACAACTTCTGTATGAAACTGCTCCAAAGTGAATTTGATGGAGTGAACCCGATTTTGGTGAAGCGGAGTAGTCCCAAACAAGCCCTAAAAACGTGGCTAGCGATATGTAATCTGGAGATGGGTTTAACTAATCCCCCTTCCGCGATTTGATCTGGCAATCCAGATATTATCTCGTGGAGGCCGGAGACGATATAACGCGCGAGCTAGCTTGGATGGATCGATCCGGCCTAGTACAGCTAGCGTCACGTCACCGGCATCGGCATGCATCCCGTCCCCGTGAAGTGATCATGT